CCCGCCCCCCCACCCCCACCCCTGCCCGCAGCAGTGCGCTGTATGGGAGTGAAGTATAGGCTGTGATCCAAGAGAGGTGTGGCGAGCTTGGCTTCCCGGCATGGATCACAGAGCAGTGCTGGTCCCTTTAAACTTTAAAGGCACCATCTGAAACCTTAAAAAAAAATCCGAAATTACTCAGTACAATTATCAGTTCAATTGGAAGATACAGGCTGCTTTACTTTAAACAGTTCAAAGGGATAATCTCATAAATTTCCCTAAATCTCAGGTATTCAGAGTAGGGAAAAAAGCAACTCACACAAAGAGTCGAACTACTTCCGAGTATTACCTAGAATGTAGAGAGGCTTCGGCTCACTGACTGCAGTTTTAAGAAGATATTTTCTGTTGTAATATTTCATGTAACTATTCATGTAACTATTTTCAGCCACCCAGGATTAGCAAAGTTAGGAATTGTGTCCTTTTGGGAGAACAAATTCCTAAGGCTAAGCAGCCAGAGAGAATATCAAAATTTTGAAGAAAATGATAGACTAAGTCACAGAGGGTTGGGATTAAATAAGTTTAGCTCTTATTAATTTTCAATTAAATTGTTTAATAGAAAAGCTGTTTACTGGGTATTCTCAAACTATTCCATTTCTCTGTAATATACAAATCGTTTACATTCATTTTTTATCTAAATTTAAATTTAAAATTTAAGTGGGAAAATCTGATACTGGGGGGGAAAAAAACCCAAACAAACATAAAAACTGAATCAAAATAAAATAGAACATTGGGTGTATGTAACGACAGCCACCTTTTTTTAGAAGAAAGAATCTGGCTTACCTTAGAGCAGAAGGCACCAAAGTTCATGTGAAAATGGCTTCGCTTTCCCCGGGAAGCACTTTGAGTTCATGAGCTCTGTGGTCATGTTCTTGCTTTGGCAGCTGCCTGGGGACAGCGGCGTCCACCTTTCAGACCCAGTCCCACCATCTTCTGCAGGTCAGTACAACCAACGTCCCGGTTCCCTCAAAACCTCTTTCAAAGGTCCACCTCGAAAGTCTCTCAGTGCTTGATTCGGGGGTTAAGATAGACACCACCATTTAATTGGAATCCAACCAATCAGAAAGTGAACCAGGCATAGCGACTCCAGATGCAAGCCCAGCAAGGTAACAAGGGCGCATTTTTGTCCTTCTTTTCTGAGACGTCTATTTGCTGCTTCCTATTCTGTCCCGAGAGTTGGTTCTTCACATTTATTCCGGTTCCTCATCGCCAAGTCACTGAACTTGGCTAACAGATCAGAATTGCTTTCAGAAACGTGCTCTCCTTTTTAATGTACTGTTAGATGGACTACAGGACACCCTCGGGTTCTCGAATAATGCCTTTGCTATTGTTGATTTAATGTCTAGCCACCGACAGGGGCTTCCCTCCCCTTCCTCTCTCTCCCCGGGGAGCCACTCAAGCAACTGCAAGTTTTCTCAGCCCAGTTCGAATAACTTACTATCTGTGCCAGCCAGCAGCTAGGTGTTTCCGGAGCTCACATACAAGGGAAACTGTGCTTATGGTAGCTCTTTCATTTAACCTTAAGGAGCCTTGAGACTTCAAAAAATCCAGGGTTCTATTGTCCTCTGATAGATACACTCTAAACCTGTCTTCTCTGAGCATTTAAGGCTAGCGGTCAGAAATTGAGCCTATTAATAACAAAACGGAAGAGGAGTCGTGTTTTCAGAATTATGCTTGGTTGGTAGCTAACAACTTACTTTAATTCCGTTAGCATGTGAACATGTTTCCTAAGGAAACATTTTTGCTTTTTGTAATTTATAGCAAGTACCACTGATGCACTTTACATTCTTGGTTTCTATTTTTATCATTTGTGTTGCTCTCTGTATTGCTCCTCAAAATTTAAGTTACTGAGTGAGCATGAAAAGTTTAGGAAAGCAATAAGCCTAAATCAAGAGACTTGTTTCCCACGGCCTTAGAAGTTTTCCTAAAGCTTCACATAGTGTTGTACGTTACTTCTGAGAGGCGAGGTTTACTTGAACCGCAGATGGGATGTTGATGCCTTATAGTCCAAGAAAGTAGAGCCTTGAGCCATTATTTGACTGTGATAGTTGGACACAGGTTGAATTGTCATTCTTTTATTTGTGCCCTGGCCACATTTACAGCCACTTTCCACATTATTAATCAGATTCGATCCACTGGGACTCGAGTTCACTAGGGCAACGAAAAACACCCAAATTGCCTGCCTGTTTGCTTTTCTAGAACTTCTTAAACCCCCCTTCTCCCCTAGACATGGTAAAATATTCAGAATACAGAATTCCATTCAAAGTCGTAAGTGCAATTTTTAAACAAACAAACAAGAAGTCTGTCTTTTTCCCTTTCTCTTCTAGGGCTGTATTTTGAGTCTGAACAGGTTTCTTCCATGTCCAATTATTTTCAAGCCCGAGAATTTTCCAGTTGTGTTTCTTGTGAAGAAAATACAAGCTGCCTCGACCAGGTCTTTGATTCCTACCTTCAGACAGAGACACACCTGGACCCTTCGCTCAGTTCCACGCAGAGCACTCCACACTATTTCCCTGACAGCTTCCAAGCTGCCCCTTTCTGCTTTAACCAGAGCCTGGTAATTTATCTCAGTTCTTTACAAAACCTGATTGTTGCCTACTCTGGGGTAGTAATGCTTTGTAAGAAGGTTTGCACCATCTCCTGAGAAATCACACACACACTATCAACCAGGAAGTCATCCAGGAAACAGCAGAGAGCCATTTAAAACTCAGTGGGCGTCAGAGTAACCACACGTGGGGGGCAAACCTTTGGGTACACACGTGATTATGATTTCCCAAGGCAGCTACGCCCAAGTAAAGCAGTGTATGGCAATAAAAAGAGGTTTCCCGGCAATATTCATTTAATGTTTTTAAACTGGAATGAAGACAGTTTTGAATTGAAAATGATTGATTTAAACAGTGGTCCTTGGATTTTTGAGTTCTGGAAAATGGCATTAGGCTGTGTCTATGCAGTACCAAACTGTCATTCCGATAAGGGGTTTTTGTTTCATTTTGGCCCTGAACTGGCCCCACTAACCAGTTGTTTGGGTCTGGTGTAGGCACAAGAACTCATTTGGGTCTGAGACGGCTGGTAAAGAAGAAGCCCTCATACTTCAGAGAATCTGGATTCTCTATTCTTGATGACCCTCACATGTTTGCAAATACGGTATCATTTAAAATGGAGTAAGATTTCCATTAGTAGACACAGGTTGTTTGCGATGTTTTTTAGATACTCATATAGTTTTTTAAACTGTAAAAAGTAAGTTGTGTGTGTGTGGTTTTTTTTTAATGTACATACTTTTTTCTTTTGGTTTGTCAAAAAGTCTGTGTAGGTGTCAGACTAAATTTTCAGAGTATAGGAAATTCACTCCACAGAATATGCACACCGGACCCCAGTTATCAAGCTCCCTTCTGGCTTCCAAAGAAGGCTTTCTCAGTAATCATTGTAGGCCTGCTTAAAGAAAGCAGAAGGTACCTTTCTCCTCTGGGGACAAGACTTCAGTGACTGTAAGAGTAGTTGCACGTCTTGGAGTCTCCCAGACACCAGCTCACTGAAGACCCCAGTTGTACCTGTGTATGGTTCACTTTGTTCTCCACGGTCAAGGTGTGGAGGAACAGCCACATGCCACCTGCGGCTCATGTTGTGGCCACAGCAAGATCTGACGTGCAGGTGATTTGAAGAACAATGGGATTTTGTGGTTTAAGAACAAAGCATCCTCTAAAATATGGTTATAACAAAGGAAGCCAGCGAAGCAAGGCGATTTATTGTTGGGGAAGAAAAAGGCAAATATAGAATAAGGTGTCCTGAAATCATGCAATCAGCTAATAAAATTACTTCTGCAGACCTGAGTTGGGCTGGGTGTTTTGTTGTGTTGTATTCCCCCCCTCCCCCCAATGTTCTTACTCTGAGTTAATAAATCCTCTCTACTCAGCTTTTTTAATCCTGTCTAAATGATCAAGCTCTTTGTTCCTCGGTTTTCTCTAGACCCCAGGATCGCCTTCGGATTCCTCCACTCTGTCGGGTTCCTTAGACTACAGTTACTCGCTGGCTCAGCTACCTTCGTGTGCTCCGGAGAGTTACAATTCTCCCCCTTCTCTGGACACCAGAAACTGTGGCCATCCCTCAGAAGACTACTCCTACTCGCACTTGCCCTCATACACCCAGTACGACTGCTTCTCCTCAGCCAGCACCTCAGTCTGCTACTGTGCATCGTGTGAGGAAGAACACTTGGACACCCTCAGAGCAGCGGAGTATTTCTCCTATCCGGGCACAGACTATGTGAACTTTGCCCCCTCAGCCGCCACGGCCAGCGAGTTCTTTAAGAGGGGAACAGACTGGGACATCTGCTATAGTTAATGGCAATTACATTAATTTGGAACATGGCGTGAATATCTCTGTCTTTCGGCCACACCAAATGACAACTCGAAATATGCAGCCTGTTAACAAAACATCACAAAGCCCGGTTCCTGTGTCGAATTTCCGATGTTCTGATGCTCGCTTAGGCATTAATATGAAGTCCTCAGACCTGGTCATTGTGCCACTCCTACTTTGTATGCTCACAGTTAAAACTGTCGTAGGGAATGTTCAGTTGTTTTACTTTTCTATGTAAGGAACAAATTCTAATTTTTTTAACTAATAAATTTTGTATTATTAAACGTTGGCTTATTTTTGTTTTTTAATTTTCTGATGATAGTTTCCAGTTGCTTTGAATAACACCAATTAATTCTGGAGATCACCAATTACTTTTCAACAGTTTAATCTCATTTATCCATGAATTTTAAATTATCTTAATTTGGCAAGATGCCTTGGCTCCCACAGGGATGGAGGGTAGACACAGCTCTGATGGCTGAAAAGGAGGGGCAGCCTCACCTCCAGATGAGGGTGTACATCTTGGAGCCACCTCAGAGAAAGACATTTATGAATCATTAGCTTCTCATATCTAACAGTCAACGAAACGTTAGTATGACCAAAAGGCACATCTTGCCTACAGCAATATTAACCCATGGATCATTCTTTTTCATGTCCAAAGTGTTGTTTTGTAAACCTTCTGGGCAAATACTTGATCTTTTTTTCTCTTGAGAGCCGCCATGCTGTTGGTGGACCAGAAGGTTTGGAATTCGTTGTTACCTTAGATTTCCGAATTTCTGCGGGCAGTCCTTAAACATGCATTTGCATCACTCGTTTTTTACAGATTGGTTGAGACAATTGACCATGTTGTTTATGACTGAATTTCAGAGTTTACTGCCTCTGATTAATCTATTTGAACAAGCCCAGCCATCCTTCAGGGGAAGAGGAGTTAACTTAAGCTGCCTATGCCCAACTCTACTGTCCAACCCTGTTTGCCGAGGGCATTAAAACACAGGACCTAATCCCTGCACTGAGTCCCGCAGTCCGGGGGGCATTTTCCATGTCCCAAGGTTCTGCACAATGGTAATATTGGTACCATTGGTCCTGGCCACGGCTACCATTTTCCGAGCCCTCCCCGTGCGCCAGAATTGCCTTCGGCTTTTCTCACCCCTCTCTCCTCTCACTCAATCTCCACAACAATGTTGATGACAAAATCAGGAGTCTGAGACTCAGAGAAGTCAAGTCACCTGCCCGATGTTACCCAGTCAGTAAGTACCCGGGCTTGGGTCTGAAGAAGCTGTGCTTTGTACTCACTCCCTGGTGGTGAAAAGTTTGGGCCATCATCTGTGGAAGACTGCTCTGGAACCTGTGAAATCATCCCCCATTAAACTCTGACTTCCTCCTACAAATACGGGTGTGTCCCCCACACAGCTAGTCAGAGCTCCCCAGAAGGGCCGATTGTCCACAGATATGAAGGTGCCAAGCACAAGAGCTGAGGTCCCCACTCTGGGGACCGAGGGAGAGAAGCTGACAAACCACCCACCTCAGTGGGCCTTGTTCTATCAGGAAGCAGATAGGCTTTCAAAATGACATGCCTAATTGTCACCTCCCTGGGGACTCCACTAAGGCTCGGGTAAACAGAACAAGTTGCAACCTGCCTCATGGGATAGCGGTGCCAGGGAAATAGAATAATCACTGCCTTTCTGAGATGCCAATAAAACTAAATTTTTAATAGTTTCCAACTAAATTGAAACTGACCTCTCGCCGACAAATACCTGTTCGGCCAGACGGAAGCCCCTGCATGCCATGCACCCCACCCCACCCCAGCTGTCCCCACGGGGCAAAGAGCAGATAACCCAGAGATGACCAGGGGTTGATACAAAAATATCCTTTTCCTGTTGCCATTCTTCTTTCTTTCTTTTTTTTTTTTTTTCATTCTCCATTTCTATCCTCTGCCTTCCTAATCAGATCTCTTGCACTCTAACAGAGCGCTTGCTCCTCGCCTCTTGTTCTTGCTTCGTATGTCCCTTAGTGTTTGCCTAAATCTAGTTTGGAAAAAGATTCAGAAAAAGAATGTGACACATGGGCTAACAGAGCTCACGATGTTTTAAGATCTTTCCAGATATTGGGGCCGACAGATATTGGGCCCGGCACACGAGGAAGTGAATGAACACTGCGCACCTGGTGTCTCAAGCGCTGCAGCTCACACAGAGCAGCTCGGGAGCCCTACAGCCCCAGAGAGAACATCTGCCCATGGCACTGGGGACAAGCCGGAGGGCCTCTCATCAGCATACAGCCGGGAAGCTGCAGGAAATCCGGACACCCGTGCCTCGCTGTCAGAAAGCATGATTCAGTAAGTCTGCCCTAGGAGCCAGGCACCTGCATTTTTCAAACGGACCTAAGTTGATTCTGAGAGAGAAGTTCCTCTGTCTACACGGGAAAAGCACTCACATATTCCACGTCTGAATCGTTCCACTCTAGGATCTAGCAGTGCAATAACAGCTTATATGGACTAAGCTCTTCCCATGGCCCAGGGCTGCGGGCATTTATCTCATTTAATCCTCAAACAACAACACAAGAGAGATACTATTACTGTCCTTGTTGGGTTTTTTTTTTTTTTTTATCAACAATGAAAGTGCAGCTTGGAGAGCTGGAATAACCTACCCAAGGTCACACACCCTGTAACCAGGTTGAGTTCTCCAGCTCAGGTGGTTTGAACATCCCACGGCCATTAGTATACTTCCCATGCATTATACCTGGAGGAATTATCTATTTGGAATTGGATCTTTTGCATGCACATCTGTACCCATCTCCTCATACCTCAGAGGCATTTAATAAAATTATAAATGGGAGTTTCAATGAATGAATAATTTTGTTATTCAGAACCACTGGATTAATAAAACAAAATATTTTTTTAAATTTTATGTATTTATTTGTCAGAGGGAGAGCACAAGCAGGGGGAACGACAGGCAGAGGCAGAGGGAGAAGCAGGCTCCCCGCTGAGCAGGGAGCCCGATGCGGGGCTCAGTCCCAGGATCCTGGGATCATGACCCAAGTCCAAGGCAGACACTCAACCAACTGAGCCACCCAGGCATCCCCAAAAAACAAAATATTAATTAAGCACTTACTATGTGCACGACAGATTCAGTACCTTCGAGATGCAGTCAAAGGGTAAAAGGAGATGTGATTTCAAAATTTAAAACTGGAAGAACTTCAGTTACGATGGACATGGACTAATTTTTCAAATTCTTGGGAAATTTAAATTAGGGGGTCAACCCTTAGAGCCTGAGAAATGAGACAAAGTTGAAGGTAGTAAACATCTGGAAATGATGACCTCAAGCAGTGGCATCCTGGCTGCTGGCCTGAGCCGCAAGTGGACATCAGGGAGCAAGGACCTGCGATGGACCTGGGTGGGGGGGTAAAGAGGGAGGGAAGGGGGTGCTACCTTTTGATAGAAAACGTTTTTTAAAAATCATTATTCAGGAACGCCTGGGTGGATCAGTTGGTTAAGCGTCATGATCTCAGGGTCCTGGGATCGAGTCCCATGTCGGGCTCCCTGCTCAGCAGGGAGCCTGCTTCTCCCTCTGCCTCTCCCCTGGCTTGTGCTCTCTCTCTCTCTCAAAGAAATAAATAAAATCTTTTAAAAAATCATTATTCAGTCGAGAATCAAAGCCAATGAAAATTGTGAATAATATAGTTTAAAGTAAATGTGGACTAACCATCATTTCCAAATCCTCAAACCCTAAGTAACCCACAGCACAGCCCCTCGCAGGGCTGCTCAGAAAAGTAATTAACTCTTAGACTGTCTCCCTGCCTCTTACAGATGAAGGTGTGGAGATGACCTGCCTACGTGAGATTGGTCTGCGTGGTGGCTCTAGGTCTTGGGAGCTGGACTGTACTGTGGCCAGAGAGTGGGCCATTCAGAGCCATGTGAATTTGTGCTTTAAAAGGTAGCTTAAATGGCCCCATATCTTGTCTCTGGGCAAGATGTAGGGGCTGGAGGATGAAAAAATCTGAGGGCGCAGCTCTGTGTAATAAGAAAGCATCAAACTCGTTGAGGGCAGGAATCAGCATCCACTCAGAAAATAGTTTTTCTTGCTTAATATGGCTAGAGAACATGCTGTTGGTTCTTGGGAAATGTGGAAACGTGTGTGTGTATGTGTGTGAGAGAGAGAGAGAGAGAGAGAAAGCACCATTCATTGTCACCTGGATAATCGGGAGGAAAGAGGAGACATCTGCCCTTAACCCGTCAGGACGGGACCTGGAGTGTCCCAGCTCTGAAGCCACCACCTCCCACCCCTACTGTGCAATTCTAGGTTGAATAAGCCAGATTTCAAGCAGAGCATTGCTGTGGTTACCCAAGTCCTCACATTGCCCTGATGAGAGGGAGCGATGAATCCAAGGGAGAGATCAGTTTGTGGGAACGTGATAGTCACCCTAAAGGGGAGCTAGAATTTCACCGTGGTTGTACAAAGAAGGAGGCATTCTCTGAAAGGAGGACCCATCAGAGGACTAAGAATTGGGGAGCATCCTCAACTGGGCTCCCCGTGAGAGGTCCAATCTGGGGGCCCTTTTCTTTCAGACTGTGAGAGCACAGTCCCATTCTGCATTGTTGGATATTCCCCCTACCACATTATAATTCTATGGGTAACCCCAGCTGTTCGGAAACATCTGGTTCCCCATAGAGCTTTGGGCGGAAGGACGGAGAATAAAGTGAAGGCACTTCAGAGGGAAGCATTTGCCCTTCTCTGCCAAGAACTGAGCAGTGCTGGTGGCACCCATTGGAAGGGACGTGTGGTCCAGGGCAAACCGAAGTGGTCTACAGCCAGTGATGGTGGCCCCACCCGGGGCAGGGATCCCGGGAAGGGCATCAGGAGCGACACAGCCACTCCAAGACACAGCCAGAGGAGAGCGATGCTTGAAAGTAAAAAAGGCAAGATCTCGGGTCCCTCAAATAAGGGGTAACTTTAGGACAAATAAAAGAAACTTTTTACATAGCAAGTAATACACTTAAAAAAAAATTACTCCTACAAGTTGAACATTTAAATAGTTTCAATAGGGGTCGAGATTATTTTGGCTGATAATATTTTAGGGCTGGAAAGGGACCCAGAGATCACCCAGTTCCGTCGTTCTCAACCCTGGCGGCACATTACAGTCACCTGAGGAGGTTGGAAAAATGCTGACGTCCAAGTCCCACACCAGTGAATCACAATCTCTGGGGTGATCTGGGCATTAGGATTTTTTTTTAACTCTTTATTTTGAAATTACAGGAAATTACAAAAATAGTGTCTAGCCTTTATCCAGCTTC